CTCTTCTTTTTCAAGGATTTTGAGATGAAGTATGAGATCATTTATTTGTTGGTTTTTTCTTTTTTTAAGGAATGAACTCCAAGCAATGAATTTTCCTCTTAGAACTGCTTTCAATGTGTCCCATAGATTCCGATATGTTGTGTCTGTGTTTTCATTTATCTCTAAGAATTTTTTAATTTCCTCCTTGATGTCTTCTATAACCCATTGATCATTCAGTAACCTATTGTTCATTCTCCAATTGATGTATGCTTTTTCCTTCCTTCTTTTATCGTTGATTTTCAGTTTCATTCCATTATGATCAGATAAGATGCATGGTAATATCTCTACTCCTTTATATTGTCTAAGAGTTGCCCTGTGACATAATATATGATCTATTTTTGAGAAGGATCCATGTGCTGCTGAGAAAAAAGTGTAACTGCTTGATGTTGGGTGGTATACTCTATATATGTCAATTAGGTCTAGGTTATTAATAGTGTTATTGAGTTCTATAGTTTCCTTATTCAACTTTTGTTTGGAAGATCTGTCCAGTGGCGAGAGAGGTGTGTTGAAGTCTCCCATGATTATGGTGTGGTGGTCTATTAGACTCTTGAACTTGAGAAGAGTTTGTTTGACGAACATAGCTGCACCATTGTTTGGGGCATAAATATTTATGATTGTTATGTCTTGTTGGTGTATGGTTCCCTTAAGCAGTATGTAGTGTCCCTCTTTATCTCTTTTGATTAACTTTGGCTTGAAATCTATTTTATTTGATATGAGTATGGACACGCCTGCTTGTTTCCGAAGTCCATATGAGTGATATGATTTTTCCCAACCTTTCACCTTCAGCCTATGTATGTCTTTTCCTATCAAATGCGTCTCCTGTAGGCAGCATATTGTTGGGTCTTGTTTTGTGATCCATTCTACTAGCCTGTGTCTCTTAATTGGTGAGTTTAAGCCATTAACATTTAGGGTTATTATTGAGATATGGGTTGTTCTTCCAGCCATATTTGTTTATTTCTGTTACTAAACATTGTTTGTTTTCCTCTTTGATTGTTTCCCCCCCCCCTTTACTGTCCTACCTCCCACTGTTGGTTTTCATTGTTATTTTCCATTTCCTCTTCCTGTAATACTTTGGCTAGGATGTTTTGAAGAGATGGTTTTCTAGCTGCGAATTCTTTAAACTTTTGTTTATCGTGGAAGGTTTTAATTTCATTCTCCATCCTGAAGCTTAATTTCGCTGGATACACAATTCTTGGTTGGAACCCATTATCTTTCAGTGTTTGAAATATGTTATTCCAGGATCTTCTAGCTTTCAGAGTCTGTGTTGAAAGATCAGCTGTTATCCTGATTGGCTTGCCCCTAAATGTAATCTGCTTCCTTTCTCTTGTAGCTTTTAAAATTCTCTCCTTATTCTGTATGTTGGGCATCTTCATTATAATGTGTCTAGGTGTGGATCTCTTATGATTTTGCACATTCGGCGTCCTGTAGGCTTCTAGGATTTGGGATTCTGTCTCATTCTTCAAGTCTGGGAAGTTTTCTTGTATTATTTCATGGAATAGACTGCTCATTCCTTTGGTTTGGAGCTCTGTACCTTCCTGTATCCCAATGACTCTTAAGTTTGGTCTCTTAATGTTATCCCATATTTCTTGGATGTTCTGCTCATGGTTTCTTAACAGTCTTGCTGAGCTATGTTCTTTTCCAGTTGAAATACTTTGTCTTCATTGTCTGATGTTCTATCTTCTAAGTGTTCTACTCTGTTGGTAGTATTCTCCATTGAGTTTTTAAGTTGGTTTATTGCTTCCTGCATTTCTAGGATTTCTGATTGCTTGTTTTTTATAACCTCTATCTCCCTGTATAGTTGATCCTTTGCTTCCTGGATTTGTTTGCGTAATTCGTTGTCGAAGTGATCTTTCATTGTCTGATTTTGCTGTTTAATGTCTTCCTTGATACTCCAGATCATCTGAAGCATGTATATCCTGAATTCTTTATCTGACATTCCATCTGCTGCAGCTGTTACCTCTTCTAAAGTTGCGTTGACCTGCATTGCTTGTGGTCCTTTCTTTCCTTGTTTTTTCATACTGCTTGCGTATCTTTCCTGCAGGTGCGGGCGGCGGCTCTGCTCTCTCCTTATTCCAACTGGGGTGTCGTGGCTACCACGCCGGCAGGTCACTGGGCCTGTTCTGGGAGCTGGTGGCGGCTCTGTTCTGCCCCTACTCCAATTGGGGTGACGTGTCTGTCGTACCAGCAGGCCACTGGGCCTGTCCTGCTGGTCGGTCGCAGATCTGCCCACCTTTCGGGCACGAGTGGAGGCTCTGCTTTGCCCCTACTCCAATTGGGGTGTCGTGACTACCCCGCCTGCAGGATGCTGGGTCTGTTCCTGGCAAGGGAGGCGACTCTGCTCTGTCACTACTCCAATTAGGGTGGTGTTTGTACCCCGCCGGCAGGCTCCTGGGCCTGATCCGCCGGTCTGTTGTAGGTCTGCCTACCTTGAAGGCGCGGGCGGCGGATCTGCCCTGCCCCTCCTACCACGCCTGCGGACCCCTGGGCCTGATCTGCAGGTTGATCACTGGTCTGCTCACCCTGCGGGCACGGGTGGCGGTTCCGCTCCACCCCCACTCCAATTGGGGTCACGTGACCACCACACCGGCAGGGCCTGATCCGGGCGTGGGATAAGGATCTGCTCTGCCCCTACTCGAGTTGGGGTGACGTGTGTACCACACTGGCAGGCCACTGGGCCTGACCCGCCAGGCTGTCACAGGTCTGTTTACCTTGCAAGCGCGAAGGGCGGCTCTGCCCTGCCCCTCCTACCACGCCCATGTACTACTGGGTCGTGGGTCTGCCCACCTGGCGGGTGTGGGTGGCGGCTCCGCTCCGCCCCCTCTCCAATTGGGGTCACGCGGTCACCACGCTGGCGAGCCGCTGGGCCTGCTCCGGGGGCTGGCGGCGGCCCGGCTCCTTCCCTCCGGCTCGAGGACAAATTGAGGAGACTCGGGTGACTGAGCCTCACCCCCCTTACCAGAAGACCAACTGCTTATGTCACCGCTGGTATTGATGAAGATCTCTCCTCCACCGCTTTCTGCTGACATCAGATCTCTGCCATGTTGGTATCCTATGCGAATGGCAGCATTTCGTTCCCCTTGCCAGGCAACCCAAGCAATGGGTGAGTCCTGACCTGCCCTCAGCAGGACCCGGACCGAGACACAGTTTCCGCGGGCTCCTAGCCCCGGTCCAGGGAAGTTCCGGGAGCCGGAACTCGGCCGCTCCGTGCTCGGTGTAAGCTCCTATAAGTGTAGGCTCCAAGAAGCAGCCCCCGCGGGCTCAGTTCCGGGAGCCGGAATTCGGCCGCTTAGTGTTTGGTGTATGCTCTGATAGTAGCAGGGTCCAAGAAGCAGCCTCCGCGGGCTCCGCAGCCCTGAGCCAGGGCGGTTCCGGGACGGTTCCGGGAGCCGGAACTCGGCCGCTCTGTGCTCGGTGTAAGCTCCTATAAGTGTAAGCTCCAAGAAGCAGTCCCCGCGGGCTCAGTTCCGGGAGCTGGAATTCGGCTTCTTGGTGTTTCGTGTTTGCTCTGATATTAGCAGGGTCCAAGAAGCCATATATTCTTAATATAGCATCAAACATGGCTTGTAGGTCTCAGGAACTACCTTTATGCATCAAAAGGTACGCATCATTTCCCTCATAAGAGGCTTTATGAGCATCTCTCTACCATTGAATAAAAGCCATTTTCCTTGGGGGCTTTGGGGGCTCCCAGCTTTATTTTGTTTCTCCTCCTGTGGGCTGAATATTGGGATAATTGGGAAAGGGGATAAAACAGGGGTAAATGCATTAGCCCTCTCATCTCTCTCTCTTAGTCGCAGTCATTAATTAAGGAGATATCGGATGAGAGTCAATGGGGGATGAAGAAAAGACAAACAGACACACATAGAGACAAAAGGGTAGGGCCAGCTTCATCATCCCTTGATGAGGGATAAATGACCCAGAACTAGCTCAGCACGTTTATTGTATAGGTTTCCTTGACAGGTAATTTGTGGGAAAGTTTCAGCAAAGCAGGCAATCTGAAGGATGCAGGACTGGTGATACATTAGGGTCATCTTGTTTTCTCAGAATCCTCTATCCCTGGGAGTTGGTGAACTCAAAGTTCTAACTGATAACTCTGAGCCTTTGCAAAGAGTTTCCTTGAGCAAGCAACTGGGCCATCTTGACCTGCACCTTTGCACAGGCATTTCCAAGCACAACTCAGACCATGATTCAAATCAGTGCTGTCCACAGGTGAAATGAAAAATACAGGTGTCTGATTGGAGGGCAGCCTCTTTAACTGCTTCATCTGCTAGTCTTGGCCTCTATGTTATAGCTCCTTTGATGTCTTGGCATAAGTTCAATAGCTATCTTTTCTGGTAATAATAGGCTTTCCAATACTTGAGTAACTAATTCTTTATTTATTAAATCTTTTCCCTTACTATTAATTAAGCTGTGTTCAATCCAAATTTTTACAAAAGTGTGGACAACTCCAAAGGCATATTTCAAATCTGTGTAGATAGTTCCCTCTTTCCTTTCAGAAATTTTAGGGCTTGATAAGAGCAAGTACTTCACAGGTCTGGGTGAACCACCTGTTGGGTAGCCTTCCTGACTCTATTATAATAATTATTATATTCCATCTACTACACAATATCCATTATGTCTTTTTCCTTGAGTAATTCAGGAGGACCCATCTACAAAGATTATAAGGCCTGTTGAGAAGGGAATTTTCCTAAGGTTGGGCCTGATCTTGGCTTGGTATTCTCTTAGATCCATGCAGTGGTGCTCAGTAGAGTTTGTGCGTTTTTCCCCAAATTAAGAATTCAGCTGGGTTTAGGCAGCATCAGTTATGAGTGTTAAGTTGTGGTAAGGGTTCTTCAGGGACAGGGAGAGAGCGACATTACATGCTGAATAGCTATGTGCACATGCACCCTCAGAACAAAGAGAGACAGCATGGAACATTCAGTGCACAGGCAGACTCCGGGGAAACTCTGTTATGCATAACACTGTTGCCATTTTGTTGAAATTTTAATGCACAGAATATGTAATTAACATGCAAGTTAATAGATAAGGAAGACAAAGGAACTAACATGCAATGGGAGGGGGATTAAAACAATGCACTGCTGCACTTGGGGTTCAGTCTTTGGATACAAATCTGCCAGGCCAGTGCCAGCATTAATAAATGCTGCTTTATGCTGAATGCCCCCAGTGCCCTGTTTCTCTGTGTGAGAATCCCACAACAAAGTCATCTCTCTCCAGGAGAACAGCCTCATATTTTAGAATACTAGAATCAGCTAACCATCTCCCCGCTCTTAGGTGGAGGAAGTTCTGACCTGATGGGATTTGCTCCCCCAAAGGTTACTTTTTACTTTTCTGACCAAAAGGGCATGGCCTGAATGTACCCAATTAGTGGTGGCTACTGTCCTTTTGGGCATAAAGCAACTCAAATGGCTACATCACAAGATGATATAAGTTTATGGACCACCATTGTGCATGATTTTATATATATCTATATCTATCTATCTATATCTATCTATATAAAATAATCAGTTGGGATATATATATATACACACGTATACATATATATATGTGTGTGTGTGTATATATATATATTTATCCCAATTACTTCTATCCATAATTGACTATTTCTATCTTATTTCTATTTATTTATTTAGTACTGGCTGTCAAACCTAGGGGCTCAAACCTGCTAGGAAAGTACTCTCCTATCCCAATTGTTTATTTGATTATATAAGAAATTAGGAAAAGGAGAGACAGTGGGATGAATCTGAGGTAATTTTCCCACTTATATATATGAATACATCACAGTGAATTGCACCATCATGTACATCCATAAGAATGGAATCCTAACTAGAATCAGATATATTCCATGCTTGTATAATTATATCAAATGGATTCTGCTGTCATATATAACCAAAGATAACCAATACATTTTTTAAAATATTCTAACATGAGAAGAAAATTGAGCAAGTTGGATAGAAAGGAAGCTGGAAAAGACTTCATAATCTAAGTGATAGCTGGCTATTAAACTAAAGGCACTGTGGGGTTTTTTTCAAGTTCTCAAATTCTTTGACACTCCCGTTAGAAGTTGGAGTTTAATTCCCCCACCCTGTAATATCAGAATTATCAACTCAGTCTAACAAATACAATGTGATGGCATTCTGCTGTGTGACATCTGAAGTACGGTCCTACAAAGGATAACTTCTACTTTTTTTTTTCTTCCCCATCACTTTCTTTGGGGGAAATAGGCCACCATAACATGAGGACACTCAACACAGCCAGTGGAGAGGCTTGGGTGGGGAGAAACTAGGCCCCCTACCAAGAGTCAGAACCAACTTGCCAAGCATGTGTGTGAACCAACTTGGAAGTGGATCCTCCAGCCCCTGTCAAGCCTTCAGAAGAGTACAGCCCGGGCTGACATTTTGATAGCAACCTCAGGAAAGACCCTAAGCTGGAATCACCTAGTCAAGTCACACATGAATTCCTGGACCACAGAAAATGTGGGAATAATAGAAGGTCTTTGTTGTAAACCACTAAATTTTGATGTCTCAGAGTGAAAGAAAACTAATATAGGCACCAAGAGTTTGGAAGCGTCCCTACCTATACCTCAAAACCCTAGCAGGAGATAGTACCACTGAGACAATATGGCAACCCCATGGAAGAGGTTCATTCTCTCATTTTCTGCTTTGGCTCACTGAAAAGCCTTCCTTTCTCTAAGATGATTCCCATCAAAAGCCCATTGTCCTGGCACCACCAGAAGCACTCTTTCTAGTGTTAACCCTAGTGTTAACCCCATAACACAGACCATGGCTGGAGTTATGATGAAGGCCTCTGATGCCTATACAGAGGTCCCCATCTTAGGTTGCTGCCAAAGCCATTGACACCAACTCTTATTATCCAAGAAGCCACTGGTAACAATACAGGCTTCATTAAGGCAAAGTGGTTCTTGCCTTCACTTGTAGCATGTCAAGAACCCCAAAGTAGGGAAGAGTTGCATATCACCCTGTGTGAAACTCTTCAAAAAATAAAAAGAACTATGTGGTTTATTGGAATGATTACAGATCTATAGATAGGCTGGGGCTGTCACTTTTTTAGCTTCTAACTGAAGGGATGGTAGGTTGCAAAATTTTCCCAATTCATTTCCTTCTGAAATCTGTTTTTGCTGCTTATTGTTTTAAGACCCTCAGTTTGGGGTAGTTTTATTATGTAGCAACAGCTGCCTGATATAGAAGCCAATTCTTGAAAGAAATAACAAAAGAATGAGGACATTGGAGGGGGCAGAAAATGGCAGGCCAAAAGGGTTCTTCAAGCCGGGCAACACACTCCTAGGCTCAGATATGTGCCTATGGTATTGGCTGCCATCAAATGTTCCACCCACCATTTGTCACCTTTTGAAAAGGCCTCAGGACAGCATGTCTTACATGTCTTACACCCCACCACAACCTCTGGTGGTGAGCTAGAAATGGGGTTGGGGACTGAGGAAATGTCCAGGGCATAAGACAGGGCAGAGAAGACAGGAAAGAAGGTCCCAACGATTGTGCTTGTTTGTTTGCTTGCTTTTCTTGCAGGGCCAAGCTTTAGGAAAGTGTGGACTAAAATCTGAAAGGCAGGGCTCGAGGAATTTCTGCCCTCCCCAGAGCTGCATCTGGGGAAAATGGGAGACACAGTCAGGCTCCCAGGACAACAGTCTCTGGGTACCCAATGTGGGAGAGGTTGGGGACTGCAGGACCTTTACTCTTTTGCTGATGGATTCTTGGAGTGGAGGATGTACCCAGGATACCCTAGTCTTCAGGGCTGGGGACAACATGGCAGAGGTAACTTCTGATAAGGCTTTAGGGTCCTGGAGTAGGAGGGGCAGAGCTCATCTGGTGGAAGAAACTAAAAAGCTGCAGAAGGTAAAGCAAGTCACTCTGAGCCAGCCAGAAGGTGCTGGCTCTGCCCTTAGTCCAAGTTTCTGGAGTCAATGGTCACTTGTCTTTAATTCTCATCACAGCAGAATGCCACCTCTCCCCAGAGACAGGGACTTGGTTTCTAGACTTAACCTGCGAGAATGGAATGGAAGAACTAGGGGTTATTCCCTGAAGGCTGGGGTCCCAGGCTGCAAATCATGAAACAGACACCCTTGTCCTCTCTCAGTAAGGACCCCTGACCCAGGAAGAACCACAACTTCTCCCTCCCCCACCCCAGGGGCTTTCAGCATCCTGGTATCCATGCCAGCAGCTTTTCTGAGAGATCTGTCCCTTTTCCATGTTAACCCAAGCCCAAAAACCTGAGTAGGGAACATCAAGCTAAGGGGAGAAAAAGGGAGGTGGCTGAGCAACGGGAAAGGGAGGGCTCAGCATCAGGATTCCCACCTACCTTGGGGATCAGGCAGAGCTATAGGGCACAGGCTTCTCAGGGTGGCTGTTGGGCTCTGGCAGAGTTCACAGGGTCTGGGAGCAATAGTGGAGGATGAATGCTGTGAGCACAGTTGGCAGGAGCCCCTGTGGCTTGGGGGGTAGGGACTCAAGGTGGCTGGGGATTAAATGGAAGGAGGTGACCCATCTAGACAGAAGCAGAGAGCAGGAGCCCACTCTTTCACTTCCCTCCCCACGTCCTCTGCTGCCTCACTCACCCAGGGCCTGAGACTCTCCAGTGGCTGTGGGGCCCAACTCCATGGAGTAAACACTGCCCAAGGGGTTGTCCTTGCATGAGCCATCTTTGGGCCTGAGCACCAGAATCAGAAGCCAGGGGGTTGGAAGAGTGACCCCAAGCAAGGGTCCCAGGGACTGCTTCCCCACAGCATGGTGCCCAGCTGTAGTTCCACATTGACTGTGTTCACCCTTCTGCTCCAAGTCACTCTCTCTGGCTCCTTCTTGCCCACTCCTGAGAGGAGCCCTTGGGCCCCAGGATTCACTTGAGATCCATGTTCTCCAGGGACCCTTCCCTCCAGTCCTGATGTTTCTTCCAAGCTCTGGTGCCATACCAGCCTCCTGGCACCTTCTAGATGTTGGCAACATTCATGTTCCATTGAGGGCTGGATGTTCCCTGCCCCTGCCCAGTTGAAGCTGTGCCTGCACTCCTTACTGTTGAGGGTCTTGCTGCCTTTATGACCCTAAGCCATCTCCCAGGGTCTTTCCACTTTGTTTGTGGTTCTAGGCAAGTGTTCTACTGATGAGCTATACCACCAGCCCTTGCCACTTCCTTTAATGTCTCATCTGAATAGTCAGCCACTGCCCTCAAGACTCTACCCTGGCAATGAGCTGCAGCTGCCACCCCTATGCAGTGCTCCTGACATGCCAAGCTTGGCCTACATTTCTCCTCTTCCACAGACTCCCTATCACTACTCCTTGTGCCAAGGCCCTCCCTACTGGCACCTGGGGCATAGTTAGTGCCCTGCCCCTGCTGGGGATGCCCTCTGCCCCTATCTCCAGGTCAAATCCTGCTCTCTCCTTCTGCTGGTCCAAAGTATTTCAAGGCCAAGCTATATCCAACATGACACTGGGTCCCAGCAAATGGGCATCCCTAGGAGGACCATGCTTAGTGTTATGTGACCCTCCTCCCACATCACAGAGAACTGAGCTTGGGGCAGTCTCCTGACATAAGAGCAGTCATCACCATAGCTGACCAGTGGAATGGAGTGCAAACATGTGCTTAGCCCAGCATTGGGGAATTTGAAGGGGGTAACAGAAGTGATATGGGCAGAGGAAGGAGTAGAGGGCTGAAAACTCAGGGGTCAGAGAAACTGGAGAGGCCTCCAGGGAAACAAGGGAGCATGAACTGTGGGAGCTGGTGACACATCAGGACAAAGTCAAAGGTAAGGTAACCACCTGGTGGGAGAAGCTGATGTGACCAAGAGAGGCTGCTATGGAGGGAGGATGGGGAGGGTCATGCCCTGAGTGCCGGTGAGAGCAAGGATTCACACCCTGGTCTTGCCTGGGAGGCCAAGATTTCTTTCCAACTGCCTCAGGTATCTCTCTGCACCTGTGGGCAAGGCTGAGGCCCCTGCCCAATTCCCCACAGCCCCCAACAACCCATAGGTCCAGCAGAACTCTGAGGAGCAGGAACCACTGAAGTAAGCTCAGGAGGAAGAATCGAACCCTTAGGAGCTGGGTACTCAAGAGCCTACCTACTGAACAAGAGATCCCTTCTGCAGCCCCAAGGGCATTGCTGGAGATGGAATCCTGGGAGCCGGTAGCAGCACCAGGCCAGGCCTGCCCCAGGGAGCAGAGGCAGTAGAAAGCTGAAGAGCATGGCTAGCAGGAAGGCATCCTTCTCTGCAGAGGACAAGGGCACTGAGTCCTGAGCAGGTACACCACTCCTGGCCCTGTCTAGATGCCCCACCCAATCCCAATGGCCCACTTTCAGGCTGCACAGGGCCACTGTCTACACTACCACCGAAACCAGGCTTGTCGCAGAAGGGTGGGGCCCAGCCCGGAGCACAGTGGCAATTATGGTTGCTATTGCAAACCTGCAAAGGAGAAGAAGAATGAAGGAAGGTCATCAGGGATCAGGGACCCCCAGGTCATCCCCACCCCTCATGCTACTCACCCCCCGGTTGTGGCAGGCAGTCAGGCAGCCCTCCAGTTCCTGGAAGGTAGCATTCTGGCAGCGCCTGTCCTGGCACACCTATGGGCAGTGTACCAGCTGGGCAGTGACGGAGATTGGGGGGATACAGGACGGGACTTTGGGCTACAGGACTCATGTGCCCAAAAGGGGTGGAATGGACAGGGCTCACCATTTTAGGTCCACATTGGGTCCCCGCCTCTACCAGGCCCAAGTCAAGTAGATCCAGCTGGGCTTCTGGAAGCGCCAAGGCTCCACGACAGGCCACCTCACCACCCTCTAAGGGAACCATGGAGTCCACTGGCACCATGTATGGCACCCAAGGACTCGGCTCCCCACCTTGGCACTGCAGCTTCCCACACTGAGCATCCCTGGGGAGAAAGTGGAGGAGGGTCAGCAGCGTGGAGTGTCCCTCTTCCCTCAATTTACACATCTTTGGTTCCTCCATCCCACTCCTCACTTCTGTGCACAAGGCAGGAAGCCGCCCTCGCTGTCCTGGCCACAGTTCCCATGGGCATCTCCAGCAGAGTTCACCACCTGGAAACAGGCCTCTGGGGCTGGGCGGGACCCTGAAGAAGAATGGGCGGGACTGGGGCAGCCAGGACAGGGCCTGCAATTTGGTGGCCCCAGTAACCCCAACCCTGTATCTTCCCCCACAGTAGAAAACTAGGCAGAGACAAGGAGGGGTCAGGGTAAAGGGCGCACAGTGGTCTCACCAGGCCCCCAGAGCTGCTGGCACTGCTGTTCCAGGGTGGGACATGCGCCGTCCCGGCAGTAGCCTCTGCCGTTGGCGCAGGGCGAACCATCCAGTAGGTAAATGTCTGGGGGACAGTGTGGGGAGGTGCCCGTGCAGAATTCGGGAAGGTCACAGTCGCCTGCAGCCCGGCGACATGGCGTGCCTGCCGGCTTCAGCTGCGTAGATAACCCGGTTAGGGAAGGGCAGAGAGACACTAGACAGTGAGAGGTCCACGCCAAGAGCTCGGCTTAGAGTGGAGGACCCAGCAGGAGATCCAAGTGGACCCACACAGAGAGCCAAGGCCTCTGCACGCAGTAGAGGAAGCAGAGGGCACCAATTAGCCAAGATCTACTGGCCCGCTCCCCAGCGCCCCAAGTGGTCATTCCTGGGCTTCCCATTCTCTCACCAGGCAGCCGGAGCAACAGCCCCCGTGAGCGCACTGGGCCCCCGCACGCAGTGAACAGACATGGGCGATGCAGCAGGGGTCAGGGCACTTCTGGCATCAGAAAGGCAAGAGTGGAACAGTGAGGGCGCAGCGCTCCATACCTCGGGGGAGGGGACGAGCGGGGCCCAGCCTTGGTCCCCAGAGGTGGGGCAAGAGGACTTCACCTGGCTGGAGCCACAGTCGCACTCTTCGCCGGCCTCCACGAAGCCGTTCCCGCAGCGCGCCGATGGCAACAGGAGCCTAGGGTCCGGGGCATTTGAAAGGCACGCGCCACCTCCCTTTCGGAAGAAGGCGCGCAGCTGGCGGCGGCTGCAGGCGCTGAACACGCGCGGGAACGGGTGCCTACGGCCGGAGGAGGACATTCGAGGATCACCCCCAAAACCCGGCTGGTGTTGGATTCTCACCCCTGAAGTTAGCCACACAGCCACCAGAGCATCTCCTGATCAATGGGATGCCTGAATCCTCCAGAGGCTGAGCTCAGAGAACGGAAGCCACCTGAGCCATTCCGGAGCCCAACTCTGGAGGATGTGACGCCAAGAGTGGGTAAGCCAAGGACCCAAGGTGGAATGGCGAGCCAGCGTTGCTATTCCAGAGTTGGAGTAGCCTTGCTCGGTTGTTCCGAAATTGATCTTTATATACTCTTGAGAAACCGCTTTTCACTTAGGCCTCATAACCTCTACGGGCAGGTAGTTATCATCATCCCCATTATACAGCAGAGGAAACTGAGGAATAAACACAGAAACTCAGAGAGAAACGTGCCTAGGTCCAGTGGCCCCTGCCCTGCGCACGTACCCAGTGGCCTCCGCCATCACGCAGCCGCCCTCGTCTGCCATGGCCTCCACGCAGCAGCCGTCTGGGTCATGGCTGAGGCCAAGGCTGTGCCCTATCTCGTGGGCCATGGTGGCCGCAGGGCCAATGGGGAGCTCCGAGTGGTCCTGGGAGGTGGGCATGGGGATGTCATTGCGGACCGCGAGCCCCTCTCCCAGCCACTCTGCTCCCACGTCTCTGGCAGAGCTCACCATGGTCACGCCTCCAGAGCTGTCGACGCGGCACATGCCGTTAACTGGCGCCAGGCCCACAGTGGTGCCCTGGAAGGTGCGGCCCCTGGGGGTGGAATGCGGCGTGACCCTGCGGGACTGTGAGTCAGGACCTTCCTGCCCGCGATCCGCATTAGGGTCCAAGGCACCCACGTGAGCAACTGTGCTGAGTCGTGTGGCCGCCGAGTCCACACCCCCCGGCGCCACTGCAGGAAGGCCCAGAGCGTGGCATTCGCATCAGGCGTGACGCTGCTGCGGTCCTGCTCAGTCCACACCTCCAGGCCAGTCAGCACCAACTGAATGTCCAGAGTCCTAAGAATCTGAGGGCAGAACGCGGTGGGACTGAGGCCGTGAACCAGGAGCCCCACAGAACCGGTGCCAGTGTTTCTTGGTGGCCGAGACCTTCTCCTCCCCCTCTACCATGCTAGAACCTGCCCTCTCCCCGCAGTCTCCAACCTGTTCCACATAACTGGCAACCTCTAAAAGACGCTGTTTGGTGTGGTTCAAGTTCCGGTGCTGGATCAAGAACTGGAAGGACAGAATTGCCCCGGAGTGAGGGGCTGAGCTGGCCTCATCCCAGATCCTGCCAAATCCTTGGGTCTCCCCTCACCAGGGTGTGGTCAGCCACTATGTACAGCTCCAGGTACCTCGGACTCCTGTGGGACTCTCGCCTCTCCTATAGAGGTACAAATAATGAAGCTAAGTGACAGAAAGGATGCTGGGCTTGAGTTTTTACCACCAACCCCAATTTCCAGAAAGAAGAGTTTTTAAAATTCACTAGAATTTGTTTCTTCAGCCTATGAGTTAAAATCTGAGTTAAAAGGTGGTCCTGGTCTGGGCCTTCATTCCTGTCTCCTCTGAATTGGAGCACTACAGATACTGCATTTCCACTCCCAACTATGTCTGTGTCCCTGACCCTGCTCTGGAGGGCAGGAAGAAGGCTGGCCATTTCTGGTTTGTCCTTGAGGTCCCTGTAGCCACAGGCCCCTTTCCAAGTGAGCAGTTGATCCATGCGGAAGATCTTGTGGGTTGAGAGGTCCTCAGAATCCTCAGATGGCCAAGGATGCAGATAATAGCTGGCATTGCTGCTGAGCCTGATTAGGCCCCTAGGAAACAGAGAAGTGCAGAGGGGGATATGAGGGAGCTCTTGCTTAAGCCCCATCCCAGACCCCTTCCCCAGTACCGCTCACCTCATCCCAGAGCAGGTGCTGAGGACTACCCAAGAATGAGGGAAGCCTCTCACATGCCCATGGTAGTGACAATGATCCTGGAGAGGAAAGAACCCAGCCCCAAACTTCAGCCAGGGCTGAAGCAGGAGGAGCAAAGGGAGGGAAGAGAGGAAAACTGGCTCCAATCTTCCTTAGGAATGGGAATTGGGGAATGAGGTAGGCATAGGAGGGCTACCTTCAGGGTGCATCCCCAGCACCCAGCACCCTGTCTTCAGAGCCCCTGGAAGCATCTCACCGTGTGGTTGGGGACCAGCACCACTGGCTGCCCATCTGGGCTGTAGTGGGTTTCTGTGTATCCCGGGGCCAACAGCCTGCTGGGAGGGGATGTTTTAGGAATCATGGAAATTAGCCCACCTCTTCTAGGTTGCCCTCCACCATCCTCCCTGAATGCTAATTAACCAGCTCTACAGGGGGCACCTAGTGTGTGTCTTAGGGAAGGCACAGGAGAGGTTGTGCATTGTCTCTCTCAGAAAAACATTGAACAAGAGGGAGAAAGGTGAAAGTCAGGAAAGAGGCTTCACGGTGGCTTAGAAGTGGGAGGTGAGAGTATAGAAAGCACCAGCGGGGGACAAGCAAAGGTGAAGGGTTCGTGGTCCTGTGGGGCCTGCAGCAGGCAGCTGGGTCTTCAGGTCAGAAGGGGAGAATTCTGGGGACACTGCTGAGAGGTAGGACTGGGAGCCAAAGAAATGTGGTAACCCCCCTGAGTGCCCCTGCCCCTGCCTACCTTGTTGGGAATCTAGTCAGCCCTCTTGCCTCCCTCTACCCTAAATCCTTCAAATCTTCTCCTCAAAAGGCCTCCAGACTCCACATGTCTCCCATCTGTCCCTCAGTGATGCTCACTCCCTGCTTCCAGAGAAAACAAAATTCCACCTGTCTATACCTGCTTCTGCCCTGACCACCTGAGTAGGGATCCCCATCCCCACCTTCTCCAGACCCTACTCCATGAGGAAAAATCAACTATAACCAATCATTCTTCTCTAAAGAACACCCTTGACTCATCCAGCCTCTTTACCTCCAGACATCTCCAAACACCTGTGATTCCTGCTTTTCCTGCTCCCAGTCATTCCTCTACATTTTCCAGCTTTGCTCACCCATTACATGAGCACACACATGTGCACACACATACCATTTAGTGGGTAGGGACATTAAACCCCAGGGTAACTGCGGTTTGGCATGGTGGAACTAGAGTTTGTTCCCAGTCCATCTGACTCCATTGGGAAAAATAAAATATGTGTAGAGTGCTCAGAACAAACCATGCAATGAAACTACTACACACTAAGTGATGCCTATTGATAGTGTAGACATGGGGGGTCCAAGATTCTGTACTCCATCTTGCATACCCACACTACTCAGCCAAGGGCACCATCCTGAGCCTCTCTCCGCCTTCTCATTCAACGGCTTCCATTTTTTGGCTCTACATATCCAGAACACAGCAGGAAATTGCCTTTGGTGATTGGCCCTCTTGAGACTCCCCACATCATTTCCCCCTGCTTTCTTCTTTATAGATGGAGGCCTTCCAGAGAATCCAGACAAATTGTCACCCCTGAATGTGCTTTGACTCCTGTAGCCATTGTGCCTTTGTTCCTGCCATCCCTTCTACCTGGAATGCTGTCCATTTGTGGAATTCTAAGATTCCTCCAGCTCACCATGTCCTGGGAATGCCCACTAGGTGGTGCTCACCCATCACCAGCAGCTCCTGAGGTTGGGACACACAGCAAGCCCACAGCAGGACTGACTCAGCTTCAACAGTCCACTTCAGTCTCTCCCTATCACCTGTACCCTTTCTGAGGCCCTCTCCCTAACTAGCCTCCAAGTTAGTTTCTATCCCCAGGACTGATCCCCTCCAGAGACAGATGTGTTCCTGGCTCCCACATACCCCTGTCAGGTACTCACTGGTTTTTCTCCAGCTCAAGCAGGAGCTCCTGGCCTTCAGCCTCCAAGACCACCAACCCCGAGTTGAGTTTCAAGATCTGAACAAAAAGGAGTTCAGGTTGTGATGAATGCCTCTGGGTCACCTGCCTGCCAAGAAGCAGTTAGGATGTAGAGCTGGCTGGTGAGCAAGCTCATGGGTTCAGTAGAGCCCCATGGATCATGGACAGTGTGGAAGGTATGGAAGTGAGAACATGCAAAGATATTCTCAAACTCGGATGTTTTTTGATGTGACAATAGCCACTCAAAGGTGCATAAACCTTCCAGGGCATACCATGTCATCCCTAGAGATGAGGGATCCCAGAAGGGTACCCTGCTTTTCCCACAGTCATTGGGCCTTTCCCTTGGTCTTCCCTCTTTCATTCCCAGGAAGCATGAAAAGCAAAGAAAGACAGTGGGGGAAGAAGATGAGAGGCATTGGGTAGCCACAGTCACTGAGCTTTCTCATGATCCCTGTGTTATCTGGGAGTTTGTTTCTGTCTCTTAAAAAATATATATATATATATATATATGTGTGTGTGTGTGTGTGTGTGTGTGTGTGTAAATTTGGGGGGATGCTGGATATTCAACCTAGGACTCTATGCATGCTAGAACCTACACCCCCAGTCCCTTGTTTCTGTGACTGGCTGCCCCTCATTCTCTGTAGAATTCAGACTTTATTCCTCCACCCCCAACTCTGGCAAACTGCCCTACCTTCCAAAGTTTTCCATGGCTTCCAGCAGGCCTGCCCCACACCTGAGCTCACAAAGTAAACATGGACTCCATCCAGGCAGAGAGAATTCTGACTTTCTCAGCTAGATGTCAGGGAGGCTGGTCTCAGCCAGCTAGCCCTCCTCCCTTTCCCCTCACCTTCTTTGCCTCTTGAACCCCCTGGGAATACCCCATATTCCCTCCCTTGTCTGCTCAGCCTGGCTGGGGGCCCAGAGTTGGAAGCAGCCCAGGAGATTCCTGGGGGGTTGTATTTTCAGAGTGTTCCCTCACCCTTGCTGGCCCTCCCCTTTATCCTAAAATGTACTGGGCTGGGGCCCTGGCCAAGGAGCTCAGAGTCTTGGAGGGGGGCTCTTTCCCTGCAGGTGGGGAGCAGACGGCCCTCACTTCCCCAGCCACAGGCTCCACAAGGCCCCAAGCGTGAGCTCATGTGCCTGGAATGCCACTTGCTTTATTGGGGAAAGGTTTGCACTGGGAGAAAGGCCGTGGCCCATGTGGAAGAACACACTGGAGGTCCCTGCCCCTCTACAGCCCCTGCTGCCTTTGCTTGTTGCCTTCCTGGTGATACTGCCCACCCACCATGCACCCCATCTACACCCCAAAACGTGAGTATACCCTGACTGTTGGAGAGGACATCCTGCCAAAGCTTAGTCTCCTGTCCTAGGCTTTCCTGGGGGCAGAGGCCAGAAGTGGCTGAAGCAGGGCCCCTATGGGATCCTCCTCTTAGTCATAGCCCAGACCAGACAGAGAAGGAAGCCCACAGTTGGTGTGACCCCAGCACGTGTCCAGCCTTCACCTTCACCAGGTATTGGTATTGTCAAGAACAATCCCAAAGTGCAGGCCAGCACTGTGCTTAACCAGTTGAATGGTGGCCCTAGAGGTCTGTGGGACCCAAGTGAAGACCCTAAGTTGGGAGTCAATGGGCCTCCAGGTAACCCCAACCCTCATGGTAGTTCTCTCCTTGCACAGTGGAGCTGACCTTTCTTACCTGGAAATTCAGACCTCAGTGCTCTCTAGGATTGGGTGGGGGTGACCAGTGTTCTGAGGTCTTTCAGAACTTAGCTGTTCTGAGGTTCTAAGGTCTGTCTGACCATGGGTAACTTTTTAACTTCTCTTTTCTAACTTTACCCTTCTGTAAAATGGGCATATTGAGGCTACTAACCTGTTTGTGATACAGATATTGTGGCAATAGATGGGAGATGGTTACTCTGGAAGAGTATGATGGACAGGAGTTGGGAAGAGGCTGGACACAGTGTTCCAGAGAAGTAAAATGGGATGGGCTTGCATCTGGGGGTATCAGGAGAGTGACCACTGCTCCTTGGCCACAGTTTCAGACACTCAATGGCAGGGTCTTGGGAGAAACAACAGTGTGTCTACAGAGTTACAGGTTCTGGTAAATTTGGCCAAAGGAAGATATTTTGGTTTCTTCTTAAAGAGGTTCCTGAAAAGCTTCAGGCCCCACAAACTCTGGACCCATCTCTGCCTGGTGGGGGTGGGGGTGGGGGTAGCCTGGATAATACAAGGAGGGAGGGAAGGGGGAAGATCGGGGGAGAAAGCTGAAAATGACTTCCATGTGTGCAGGCTCAGCCATCTAGATGTCTCCCACCCCGCCTGCCTGGTGGGGAGGGGCTAAGAAAGCAGTGAGTTGGTGGTTCTGAGGACCCCAGAAAACCTGCCAAGCTGCAACTGGGGGGAGGGCAAAGAGCTGGGAGACAGGGGCCCATGCTGAGCATGGGGTATTGTAGCACTGACCGGCTCTTCCAGGGTAACTCTGCTCCAGGGTCGTCCACCCAAGACCCACTGGGGAGTAACAGGCTCTCCAGGAGTGTTTCCTAGGATGAAGACAGAGCACAGAGTGAGGGGGACCTTGGGGGGCTGGGAAGGAGGGAGAGGAGGTTCTAGGGGGCAGGCTCCATCTTCAATGCTCCTGAGCTCAGCCTAGAGAAGGATGGTGGGCACTCATGGGGCAACCCTGGAACTGAGGAGCCACCAGGGAGATGGCAGGAGAGAGACAGAGGAGCCTGGGAAGAAACAGCTCAGCTGGGGATTTGGGAGCTGCCTGACCTGGGGATGGGGTTGGGTCAGAGGTCACAAGGAAGAGGCTCAGGCTTGAAGTATAGAGGGGAAGGGAAAAAAAGAGGAGGAGGCAGCCTCTGTATTTTTAGACTGGGCAGCAGATGCCTTTAGTATGAGAGATCTATGAGAAGAGGCTGCCTGTGTCTCCCCACCATCTGAGAAAAACAACATCCAGATGTTGTCTGGCAAGGTCCACCATGCCCAGTGTTCTTTTGGGGGCTTGGTGCTGGTGGCAGGCTCAAGGACCCTGGCCCGGAAGCCCCCTGTTTTTGTTTTCAAGTGGAAATCCAGGAAACAGAACCTCTGTGCTCCTGTGCCGGCGTGCCTAAGGGGGCTCTAGGAGGAATCCCAGAGCCAAGCATTACTCAAAGGGTGCCTGGAATTCTCCCCTGGAATGTTCCTTCTCCTCCCCCTAACTGGCCACAGCAAATCTCACCCAACCTACCCTGCAGGAGCCAGGCTCCACCCAGAGCCTGCAGCCAGCCCTCTGATCCTCAGTCCCTAGGGCAAGCCCATCTCCCAGAAAAGCAGCACCCAATTCACCACCCAGCCCTGGCCATAGTCCTGCTTCTCAGGCTGATGGTTGTTTGTGTAGGTGGCTCAGCTACTCCCAGGCCACCCCAACTTCTTCGTCTCCATTTCCTCATCAAAGACCTGGAATGACAGCAGCTCTAGGAGTCACCTTTTCTCAAGAAAACTTCTTTAATTGATGACCTAGTTGCCATCAGGCAGATGGCAGGTTTGGGGAAGGACCATTTCAGAACTGAGGTTAAAGGAGCTAACTGTAGGGAGACATTGAGTGGGAGGGACCATCTTTCAGCCCAGAGAGAGCTTAACTGGGTATGGAGAACCAAGCCTTCTGGTCCCAGGCCTCAGAAGATGCAATGGATGGAAATGGGTGTGTTATCCGCATGGCCTGTATATACTTGCTGGTCACTGGCACATTGGCAAAGGAAGCAAAGATGGAGCTGGGTGCCTGGGTGCATGGGAATAGAAACCAAGGGATCATGTCTGGGCTGAGGAATACAGTCTCTCTCTCTCTCTCTCTCTCTCTCTCTCTCTCTCTCTCTCTCTCTCTCTCTCTCTCGTCCCATCACCATCCCCTGGCCCCAGGCTACAGCTCTGGAGGTGGACAATAGTGCAATACCTAGGGCTTGTTCCCAAAGGTATGACAGCTGTTGTTCCCTTACTTTCTGGCAGGAACAGGGCAGGAGCCAATATATCTGGGGTCCCTCAGTACAGAGCTGTAGAGTCTGAAACTCCTAGGCTTCCCAGCCCAGACCCTGGTGCCCCCATCGGCTCCAGTTGCCCTTTCAGTCTCTTATACAGGCTCTGAAAAGTCCATCTTCTTGGAGGGGCTGTTGTTAACAGCCCAGCCATACAAGGAGCTTGCAGAGGTCACGGGGAAGAGAGAGCTGAAGTCTTCCTTAGGCACTGTCAGACACCTTCTGTTTGAAGAAGTCCCTGCCTGTCTAACCAAACAAGGCAACTCCATCAACAATATACACACTGCCGGGGACTGGAGGGGGAAGGGGAGGGTGGTGTGCAATGAGATGGCTAGTCCTAAGGGCAGAGCAGGACTTTAGGGACCCGTGGGCCTGGAGGCTTCTTGGAGGAGTGAGACCTGCTGACCCTGAGGTACAGAAGCCGCTCAGTTCACCCTAGCAGCTAGGGACTGGAAGGTTTTGAGAGAAGAAAATACAGGCGACCGGGGTCGAGGGGCTTGGCAGCTAGCTGCACAGGCAGGAAAGTGTCTTGCCCCTCTGCTTTGCAAGGCACCATGTGCGGGCAATTCAGGCCCTGAGGCCACCCCAAGCAGTCAAACCCCCTAGACAGGTCTCACAGACACCTGCCTAAACCCTGCGTTGTCCTCTTGGCCAGGTGGTCCCAGTGTTTCAGACCCTCCATCTGCTGACCAGGGCTGGACCCCTCAACCACCAATCACCTCATCTGCCCTCGGGGCATACCCGCGCCCACATCCTCACCTGGAAGCACGAAGGCACAGGGCACTGGCCAAGGCGACAGCAGCAGCACCAGCAGAAGCAGCAGCAGCCGCAGCGACCCCTGCTTTCTCGGAGACCCCCTGCCCATGGCTGAGAACGTCTGGGCCTCTAAGCTCTGGCAGCCAGCTGCGGGCTCCGCCCCGGCTGGATAGAGGCCGACCCACGCCCCGCGCAGCCGGGCCGCCGCCTCCCCACCCTCCGGCGCAACCCGGCTGGGAACAGCCACCGCGGCGGATCCGTCCCCACGCAGGCCCCGAGGACTCGACCTCGTGCGTGCCGGGGAGCCCGGACGACCAACCCGGGGAAGCAGCAGCGGCCGTCGAGGGACAAGAGCCGGGCGGCGCGGGGCGGAGGCAGGAATCCAGCCCGCGAGGTCCCTCCGCATCCCTACCCGTGGGGGCGGAGGATGGGGACGGGGCGGGAATGCGGGAAATGTTCTTCGAGGCCAAAGCGGGGTGGGGTGGTAAACAGGGGCCGCGAATGCGGGCTGCCAGTAGCTGCTCAGTCCCCGTCTCGGGTCTCGGTGGTTAGACACGGGTCCTGCCCAGAGGCGCCTAGGCGAGAACCCGAAGGAGGGTTCATCTATCCACACCGGGTGCCTCCCAGAGGAGAGGGACAGTCAGGTGTAGCTGCCTCTGAACCGTAGTGGCCGCCAGCCTCTGCCGAGGACGCACACCCAGGTGGTGGTGATGGTGATGGGGAGTGTGCAGAGGCTGTGGTCTTGGGTGCCATGGTGCGGAGCAAAGGCGACGTATGGCACAGGCGCTGGGTGGGGCCCAGTCCTTTGTCTCAGGCCATGGCTAGACGGCAGAATTGTACAAAGCTATACCTCCCAGGCTGCGGGGAGGAGGGGTGTCAGTAATGTGTGTGTGTGTGTGTGTGTGTGTGTGTTGGCGGGGGGGGCGGTCCTTTTGGTGTCAGTAGCTCTAATAGAAAGATTTGTTGGTTTGAGAATTAGGTATATATTCAGAAAGCGAAGGATGTTAACTTTTAAGCGAATCTGTTTCCGAGAATTTGGGATTAGGAATGTGGGTAGTAAAAATTCCAGCTGCGAGAGCAACCTACATTTACAGCATTAAAAATTATGATGGATCCTGACTCAGTGATTCCCACCTGTAGTCGCAGCTACTTAGGAGGTTGCTTGAGTCCAGGAGTTCAGGGCCAGCCTGGACACACAACAAGACCCGTTTCAAAAAACTCAATAAATAAACATAAAAATTAAGGAATGATAAAATGCTTAAGAAAAAGTCTTTCTACCTCTTCAGTCTCCATTCTTTCAACCCTCCTCACCCAACAGGAAGCTGCTACTGTTAGTTTCTTACACAGGTTTTAGATTATTTTTATACATACCCAAGAAGTAAAGACATTTTTTCTTAATATTTTTCTTCACCTTGGTTTTATTTTGTTTTATTTTCTTAGTACAACTTTTATGTCAGAGCTTTGAGAAGAGCTATGTCCAAGGGCATCAGAGGACTTTTCTGCCAAAATCTCTGAGCAACTGTTAATTTACTTTTGAGTTTGTAGAGGAAGGAATGGAGCCTTTGGATCAAAGTTGAGGGTGATAGATCCTAGAAAGTCACCAATCAGTCCAGTATTCATGTCAGGTAATATTAAGGGAAAGATGATTTATCAAATGGTTTATTGTTATTTCTCTCTGAGCAGCATGGGGAAATGTCCTGGAAATAAGACAGATCAAGTGCAATGTTCACCAACTAAACAGGACTCAGCCTGAGGAGTGATCCAGAAGAGGGTGTCACTGCCAACTCCAGCTTACCCACATGTCCTGGATGGCACCTGGAGATCCCAGGCCAGTGGTTGAGTGGATCAAAAAAAGTAATGTGTGTGAATGGAGGATCTCAAAGTCACAGTCAAGGCTCCCTCCCTGACAGCCTGGTACATCCAAAGGGCAACATGTTGCCCCTTGATAAGGTGAAGGGTTTGCTTAGAACCCTTCATCAGCCAGGTTTTGATTTGGGTAAACGGTTCTGATTATTAAGCATAAAAGATGGGAAGTTTCCGGTGGTGGTAGTGGTGGGGGTTTTTGTTGTTGTTGGTTTTGTTGTTGTTTTAAGAAATGGGGTCTTGGGGTTGGGGTTGTGGCACAGTGGCAGAGCACTTGCCTCACATGTGTGAGGAAGTAGGTTTGATTTTCAGTAGTATAAATAAATGAATAAAATAAAGGTCCATTGATAACTAAAAATATATTTTTTAAAAAATGGGGTCTCTCCTGGCATGGTAGCATAAGCCTGTAATCCCAGCAACTCCAGAGGATGAGACAGAAGGATTGCAAGTTCAAAGCCAGCCTCAGCAACTTAGCAAGGCCTAAGTAATTCAGTGAGACCTTGTCTCTAAATAAAATATAAAGAAGTTCTGGGGATGTAGCTCACTGTTTAAGTGCCCCTGGGTTCAATCCCCAGTACCAAAAAAAAAAAAAGAAAAGAAAAGAAAAGCAAGAAAGAAAAAAGAAAAGAAAAAGAAAGAAAGAAAGGAAAAAAATGGGATCTCACTGTGTTGCCCAGGCTGGCCTTAAACTCCTGGGTCCAAGTAGTCCTCCAACCTTAGCCTCCCAAATAACTGAAACTACAGGTACACACCACCATGCCCAGCTAAGTGGAAGAGTTTTTAAATACTTTCTTTCTGAAATACACATTCAGAAAAGTAAGCAACTCAATGAATTTTCACAAAATGAATACCCCCATATAACCTGCATCCCGACCAAGACAGAGCACATTCCCAGCCCCCCTAAAAGCTCTTTCATGGCCCATTTCAATCATTTTCCCCATTGTTTACCACTATTTTGACTTATATCACCATTAATTTAATTTCACAAAAATGGAATCACATGGTGTTATGATTTAGATCTTCAATGTCTGCTCCAAAGATTCATGTATGGGGGCTGGGGTTGTGGCTCAGCGGTAGAGTGCTTGCCTGGCACTTGCAGGGCCCTGGGTTCAATGCTCAGCACCACATATAAATCAATAAAATAAAGGTATTGTGTCCAACAACACTAAAAAATAAATATTTTTTTAAAAAGATTTGTGTATTGAAGGCTTGGTCCCCAGTGCAGTATTGTTCAGAGGTGGGGCTTCTGGGAAGTGATTGGATCACAAAAGCTCTAACCTCATCTAAGGATTTATAATTGGAGACACTATCAGGAGGGGGACATAGTTGAAGCAGTGAGTCCTTGAGGGTGTGCCCTGGGAGACTATCTTGTCCCTGGCTCCTTGCCCTCTCTCTGCTTCCTGTCGGCCAGGAGCTGAGCAGCTTTCCTCGTCCACACCCTTTTGTCATGATGTCCACTTTGCCTCAGGGCCAAAGCAATGGAGCTAGCCAGCTGTTCTAGTGACCAGAACATCTAGTGATGTTCTAGTTTTGCATCGTTGTGACCAAAAGACTTAGCAAGAACAACCTTAAAGGAGGAAAAGTTTATTTTGGCTCATGGTTTCCGAGGTTCGGTTCATGGTTGACTGTGTACCTCTGAGCCAGAGGTGGAGGCAGAACACCTTGATGAAAGGGCATGGCAAGGAGAGCAGCTCAGGATGTGGCAACCAGGAAGCAGAGAGAGCTCTGCTCACCAAGGCCAAAATACGAACCCCAAAGGCACTCCCTCAATGACCTATTCCCTCCTGCTGCCCTCACTTACCTACAATGACTGCCCGGTTCATCCAGTTATACCTTTCATAATCTTATCACTTCACCTCTGAAAATTCTTGCATTGTCTCACATCTGAGCTTTAGGGGGACACCATAATACCAACCATGGACTGAAACTCTGAAACCATGAGCCAAAATAAATCTTTCCTCCTCTAAGTTTTGTTTTGTTCTTTTTATGTTTGTTTGTCTGTTTGTTTTGTTTTGTTTATACTGGGGATTTAATCCAGGGGCATTTAACCACTGAGCCACATCCCCAGCCCTTTTTTTATTTTTTATTTTGAGACAGGGTCTCGCTAAGTTTCTTAGGGCCTTGCTAAATTACCGAGGCTGGCTTTGAACTTGCAATCCTCCTGCCTCAGCCTCCTGAGCCACTGGGATCTAAATTGTTTTTCTCAGGTATTTTGGTCACAGAGACTATACTGTTTAGTACATACAGTAGCATCTGGCTCCTTCCACTGAACCTTGTTTGAGAGCGTCTCCCATTTGTTTTCTGCAGCTGTAGCTCCTGCTCACTGTTATAATATTCTATTGTGTGAACAAAGCACAATGTTTTTAGCTGTTGTGCATTCACTGTTTTTAATTTCTGGCGGAGAGTAGCGTTTCTGTGAACATTCTAGTACAAGTCTCATGGTCACATAAGCCCTCGTTTTCTTGAGTAAATACCCAGGGGAGAAATGCTAAGGTCATGGGAGGGATAGGATTAGCCTAAATAGATATTTTCAAACTGTTTTCCAAAGTTGTCGTACACACTCTATGATATCATTTATATAAAGTTCAAAAATAGGCAAATCAAATTTATGGTGGTAGAAATCAAGATAGTAGCTGCCCCTGGGGAGTACAATTGGGAGGGGCTGTGGAAGGACTCTGTGGTGTGGGTGATGTTCTGTTTCTTGATCTGACATTGGTGGCATGGGTGTGTCCACTTTTGGAAAAGTCGTGGAGCTGTATGCACTGATACTGTGTGCATTTTTCCATGTATATGTTACACTTCAATTACAAGTTTATTTCAAAACACTAAGAGGGGCTTCAGATCCCTGGATGGAACCAACTGAACCCTCTGAGCACTTTCCAATCCAAGGTGGACGTCCACCTCTTGGAGGGACACAGAAGCAAATGAAGACATGTTACATGTCCCAAAACACCCCAGTAGGCACCCCTCCTGCTGCCATCTATGGTTCTCCTCTCTCTCTCTCTCTCTCTCTCTCTCTCTCTCTCTCTCCCCTAAGACAGCCCACAAACATCTGGCAGCATTTGGCTTTATCTCTTCCTCTCCCACCTCTGGATTTAGCCCATTCTTTCCACCCTCCTACTTGACAACAATTCAGAAGAAATTATGCCAGTCACTGTGCTGGTCACTGGGGGTGAACACATAATCAGAGCCACAAGGAGCAGGGAGGGACACAGATCACTTCAGCAGAAGGCAGTTAGTGTCATGTGATGTGTACTCCCTGGCCACCTCTGCAAATATTCTCCAGGAATAAAACCCACCAACATTGGAATCCTCTGTGTTCTAGCCCAGAAGTTTTGAGTTATAAGAAACTCACTCCAGTTGCATCATGGGATGGAAGTTTATCAAAAGGACGTGCTGGACAGGCTCCCAGGAAGAGTGTGACAATCGGGCACAAAGAAATGGGGTCTGGAATAAGGGTGCGTG